TCTGGAGGTGAACGACGGGTCGTGTCCGGGTACTCTTCAGGTGATGGTGAAGGCGAGTGAAGACTGCAAGCTGCGAGACGTGGTGCTGACGGGGACATCCATCCACGCTGAGGGCTTTCTCAAGCTGCCGCCGGAGGGTACGAAGCAAGATATCGAGATGGAGGTGGAGAGGGTTATCAACGTCGGGGCCGTGATTAACGCCGCCAAGTACCCGTTGCCCAAGAGCAAGTCCAAGCTGCCCCTCGAATCTATCAGGGATCACGTGCACCTTCGCCCTAGGGCCGCAATTGTACGTTTCGCCATCTCTCGATGATGCTTAATTATTAGTTTGATTGTTTTCTTTTTTTCTTTGTTTGCGCTCTGACTATCTATCTGTCTAGGGTAGATCAATTATGTGTTTATAGGCATAAATTCATACATAGCATTGTCCTCTATTCGTATTCTCTATTAGTAGTTCTGATGATTTAGATGGAGTAGCTCATTCTTTTATTAGTTTCTAGTGCCACTTCCTATTCAGACGGTTTTCACATATAATCGGCACAAGGATCAAGAGTGATACTTGTAATATCGGATAGACTTCTATCAAGATGGTTTTTTTTTTTTTAATTTTATTTTATTTTATTTTATTTTTTTTCTTCTTTTCTCTGCTAAGTAAACCAGAGTTATTCTTTTTAATTCACAAACATAAATTGTTGCTTAATATAGTGCCGACTGAGTTTTATAAGATAACAATTTTGTCGTATATGCTTGGGTGCTGCTGCTCGTGTTTGAATTTGATATGGTTGATGTTGACCCACAAGTACATGATATAGTATGTGTGCACTTGGAGACATATATGGTACCTTTCTCTAATCTCTTACCTTTTCTCAATGTTGTTGAGTCTAGATATCTTCAGTCGCTAGAATACGTAACGCGTTGGCATATGCTACCCACACGTTCTTCCAAAAGCACGGTTTCCTTTACGTGCACACTCCAATTATCACAACCAGTGATTGTGAGGGCGCAGGGGAGATGTTTCAGGTCACAACACTGCTCAGTGATGCCGAAAGACTAGACAAGGAGTTTAAAGCGAGTCTTCCTCCCTCAGAAGCCGACTTAAAAGCTGCCGAGCTTGCCATCAAGGAGAAAGGGGCAGATGTTTCCCAGCTCAAATCCGCCAAGGCGAGCAAGAACGAGATTGGTGCAGCTGTTTCTGAGCTCAATAAGGCGAAAGATGTATTTTCGAAGCTGGAACAGAGGTACAAGCTGGGAGAGAGGCTTAGGGTTTCTGGTGGCATTCCAAAGAAGGATGGCAAGATCGACTATGCAGAAGATTTTTTTGCCAGGCAAGCATTTCTGACCGTGTCTGGGCAACTGCAAGTTGAAACATACGCTTGTGCACTGAGAAGGGTGTATACGTTTGGGCCAACATTTCGAGCTGAAAACTCGCACACTTCGAGGCATCTTGCAGAGTTTTGGATGGTTGAACCTGAAATAGCATTTGCTGATTTACAGGTATGTGCATGCGAGCATGCCACTTGTAGAATTAGCTGCAGTTGCATTTTTTGAGTAGATGAAAAGGAGGCAAGTGGGAGTTATGTACATAACTAATTAGACCTGCTTGAACTAAATTATGATGTTAGAACAACCGGTTATGATTTCAATCACACACAGACACAAATAAAAGAAGGTAGGAGAAGAACAAGAAAAAATTGGGAGAGTAAAAGAATGATGAGAAAAAGTCAATATGCAGTATAGTCTTATAGAGGACATCATATGATTGGATCTTCTTTATAAAATATCCTCTTTTCAAGCATGAGATAACATGATTTAAAAAAACATCAATTTGTAGGATAACATGAACTGTGCAGAGGCATATGTGAAATTTCTTTGCAAGTGGTTGCTCGACAATTGCTCAGATGATATGGAGATCATAACCAAAGCTATTGACAGTTCTGCTGTACAACGTCTTAAAATGGTTGCCGATTCCACGTTCCGTAGAATAACATACACCGAGGCAATCGGCATTCTTGAGGAAGCAGCTAAAGTTAAGAAGTTTGACAACAAAGTGGAATGGGGTATTGATTTAGCGTCCGAGCATGAAAGGTAAAATTTTGCAGTGTAATTGATTGTTTGGCCTGCATGAATGTTAAACGTCTCTTGTTTATTATCTGTTACTTCTCGTGAATATAGATTCTTGACTGAGGAGAAATTCAAAGAACCTGTTATTGTGTATAACTACCCAAAAGCAATCAAAGCATTCTATATGAAAGTGAATGAAGACAAATCCA